TCGTGATTTCGGAACCCAGATGGTCCGCCGGTGTCAGTTTAACAATTCGCCAATTCAGTTGTGGTCATCAGTCAAAGAGAGTCTAACATATTCTTGTCGTGGGAGGTTTTGTAAATATTGTTCAATTTGCATAGTTAGCCTCACTGAACAAGCTTAGCATTGAGAGACCTAACGGATCCAACCCCAAAAGTCAGCTTTGCATGAGTCTTGCATAAACATCGCATGAACCCTACAAGAAGTCAGGGTTGAGGCTTGTGCCATGTCTTTGTTACGCTATGCCAGCTAAATGTTGGTTCTCAAGTAGTCCTAGATGTACAGTACAGTCATCGTAACTTGAAACGCAACATTTTAGAAAATAATTATGCCCATTTTCTCTTGTTATACCTGACAAGACTTTGTTTGGGTCTTTTTCAGGTTTCAGATAGATTTGTCTAAAAAACCTGTAAAAATAGATTTGTCTACAAACTGGAGAAACTGCATATTGCCAGACTCGAAAATAAATCTTTTTAAAGANAAAAAAAAAAAAAAAAAAAAAAAAAGCCGACCGGCTTCGTAGACCTCAGCATGTCGGTCCTGATCTCGGCCGCGCTCAAAAGCAAAATCTTGGCTTTAATTCGCATATTTTAAGTCTCTAACATTCTGTCACCGTAAAAACCCATACATCTGCAAGATTCAGGCTAAGAGAAGAATCAATTTTACATTTAAGTATTGCTGAAGAGCTCTCACTATGAAAAGCCTGTTGAACACTTGCCTAATGTCTCCCTTTTCTTTGCATAACTAATCAACTAGGTCAGGGATGACGCGCACATTCACTCGTAATAAAATGTGACTATTACATTATCTAGAAGGTCGTAACGATCATGGCAGTATTTCTAAAATTCAAATTGACCGATTTCTTGTGGAAACGGCTGTCTACCTTAAGAACTCAAGTACCAAACTTTAGTTTTAGAAAGGATACTCCTTGCTTCCTCTTGGCCTTTAGAGTCTATATATCTAGAATACTCTTCGCTTTATTCTACAAAACGTGGTCATGGTTGCTTAATTTTCATGAATGCTGCATTGATATGCAAATTCGATAAAGATTTGATTTGTTGCGTGACAAAGAAGTGCCAAGTCATGCCATCCATG